TACCTGTAAAATAACATGTGAATTAAATCGGTCACCCATGTAAAATTTATCATTATCCTGGAAAACATTAAATGACACCTAATTTTTGGTATACAGTTGTACCCCACTTAACGCGGTCAATAGAACCCAGAGGGTCCCGCGTTAAGTGAAATCCGCGTTAAGTGAACAACAGAACATATGGGATTAATTCCAATAAAAACCAGCCCGACCCCCAAACTCCACTTTTTGAAGACACATAACTATGTTGTAGTAAAAATAACATCTTAATTTTATGATGGTACATGCACACAATTAATACTTAAGAGAAATAGAGAAATACAGTCGCCAAGTTAATGTCCATTCAAATAATGGACTCAACTCCCTCCCCCTCTTCTCACACAACACTGCTGGCTCTTCCCTCTCTGAGAAATTTTTGGGGGAAAACCACTAAATTTTAATAAATAATACCTCAAACTAAAGTTAGGATAATACAATTGACATTGCTGGATTCCTTGTAAGACCAGGAATATTTTGAATATAAATGTCATATATTTTGCACAAAAGATAACATATTTACTCAGAGAAAACATTTTATCTAAAATTTGTATGTCTAATGCAAAATATATGATGTTTATATTCAAAATGATCACCAAATTATAAGAATTCCAGCAATGTAAATTATATTCTGACCGGGTAATTTGTATGAATTTTATGAGCTAAAACAAATATCTTCAGTTAATAAAAAAAAAAATATTCTTCACAGGGTAACAGATGGTCGGTCGGTCCCTCCCTCCCCCCCACCCCCCACCAACCGTCCCAAGGAGATGTGTGGGAAAACCAGAATACTGTATTTAACTTTTTAGTAATAAATAATACCTCAAACTAAAGTTAGGATAATACAATTGACATTGCTGGATTCCTTGTAAGACCAGGAATATTTTGAATATAAATGTCATATATTTTGCACAAAAGATAACATATTTACTTAGAGAAAACATTTTATCTAAAATTTGTATGTCTAATGCAAAATATATGTTTATATTCAAAATGATCACCAAATTATAAGAATTCCAGCAATGTAAATTATATTCTGGCCGGGTAATTTGTATGAATTTTATGAGCTAAAACAGGCAGTCAGGCAGGGTGGCTGGTGGGGCAAATCTAAAAATAGCGTCTCGAGCCGGACACTCACCGCGTATATGTGGAAAAAATCCGTGTTAAGTGAAAGTTCAGCTCTGGCGAGGCACCGCGTATATGAAAAAACGCGTTAAGTGAAACCGCGTTAGGCGGGGTAATACTGTACACTAAAAGTTGACAAAAAGTCGTTCGTGATGCAGCAGGGTAAGTATGCATGAAATGGCATGAAATTTTGCACAGGTGTTTGTTACAGCCATACAAACGATGCCTGAAAAGTGCAGCCTGCAGCTCAAATAAAAGTGTTTTTTCCCTGCCCCCCTAATGCACACACAATTAATATTTAAGAGAAATACAGTTGCCAGGTTAATGTCCATTCAAATAATGGACTCAACTCCCCCCCCCGCCCACCCCCCCCTCTTCCCAGCTCACTGGCTCCTACCTCTCTGAGAAATGTTTGGGTGAAAACACTAGATTTTTAACGTATACAGTAGTAATAAATAATACCTCAGACTAAAGTTAGGATAATATAATTGACATTTCTGGATTCCTTGCAGGTCAGGGAATATTTTGAATGTAAACTTCATATATTTTGCACAAAAGATAAAATATTTGCTTTGTGTAAACCAAATTATTACATTAGATCTAAAATTTGTATGTCTAATGCAAAATCCATGATGTTTATATTCAAAATGATTATCATATAGTAAGAATTCCAGCAATGTAAATTATATTCTGGCTGAGTAATTTGTATGAATTTTATGAGCTAAAACAAATATCTTCAGTTAATAAAAAAAAATATTCTTCACGACACTATCTGTCAGTCAAAATACCCCACCTTGCCTCCCCCCCCTCCACACCATGCCAGCTGGGTCAGTCGGTCCCAACCCTCCCCTCCACCTTCCCTCCCTACCAGAGAAATGTTTGGGAGAAAACAGTACCAATATCACGGCCTATAAGGCGGCGGGGTGCATAAGACGCCCCCCCCAAATTTCCATTTAAAAAGTAGCTTTTGAGCTCTATTTGCTGTATAAGACCAGTACCCCAAATGTGACACTTACCCACTGACTCAGTAGTCCTTTACCAACCATCCTTGATTTTTTAAAATAAGGCCAATTCACTTCAAGTAATGTCATCAAATTATACCCGCTGGTGTAGTGTAAACACTAGTGACGTCACTGAAGCGTGTTGGGAGTGTTCCCTCGTCTCGGTGGTGTGACTATTTATACAACATGTGATTCAACAGCAACCACCGTATTCTAATTGTGGTGTTTCATTAGGATTTGAGTGAAAAAGGTTACCAGTATGTACTTACTACATACATTTATTACACAAATATATATATATATATATATATATATATATATATATATATATATATATATATATATATATATATATATATATATATATATATATATATATATATATATATATATATATATATATATATATATATATATATATACTGAATATACTATGTACAAAAAATGAATGTTCAATGAATTATTTATGGTGCATTAGGGTACTGGTCACTTCTGATGGGCTATAAATAGCCTTCTTTATCTCCCCTACATCTCACCCTGAGCCAGACGGAAGGGTCTTGGTAAATAACATGTTTGCTTATTTTCCATTTACTTTAAATAGATTTACCGAATTATTTGTTTTATTTATTTATTTATAATATACTGTAATATATTAAACACACTGTAATTATTTTCTTTAATTTATAAACTGTTTTGCGACAAAGGAATGTTCTCCAGTAGTGTTTCATTAGGATTTGAGTGAAAAAATATTACGTACTTACACAATTGTTCCTCTTACTTTGACAACACAACATACATACAGTATATTATTTCTCAGTTTTGATCTTTTTTTTTAATTTTTGTATTTATTTATAGTTAGTTACTTAAAATAAGGCCAATTCACTTCAAGTAATGGCATCAAATATTACCAGCTGGTGTAGTGTAAACACTAGTGACGTCACTTGAGCGTCTGTAATTAACCGTCGATAGTTTCAAGAATTAATGCACTCATTTACTGAATATTCTTTGGAAAAAAATAAAATTTAAATCAATTATTTATAGGAGATAAATATTATTATGAGTAAATATACCGATACCGGTATGCATTACTGACCACCTCCACGGCTCCTCACTGGCAAATGGGGGGGGGGGCGTGGGGAGGGGTGTGTGATGATAGCTGTGTTTATTATAGGGGTATAAATCTCTTTTACGGTATGTTAGACAGGTTTATAATACATTTTTATTATTTTAATATACCGGTAATCTTAATTTGAATCCAGCTTGCCAAACGTAAGTTTCAGTATAAAATAATTAGTGGTAAGACCTTGTGAGTGGCTTACGATGTTTTCATCACCACTCTTGACACACTAAACCACAATATTTAAGAGGTAAGAATTTTAAACTTGGTGGTTTAGACGACCCCCTAACTTTGGGCAGATTTTTTTAATGTTCAAATTTCGTCTTATAGGCCGTGATATACAGTATATTTACATTTTTAGTAATAAATAATACCTCAGACTAGAGTTAGGATAATATAATTGACATTTCTGGATTCCTTGCAGGTCAGGGAATATTTTGAATGTAAACTTCATATATTTTGCACAAACGATAAATATTTGCTTTGTGTAAACCAAATTATTACATTAGATCTAAAATTTGTATGTCTAATGCAAAATCCATGATGTTTATATTCAAAATGATCATCATATTGTAAGAATTCCAGCAATGTAAATTATATTCTGGCCGGGTAATTTGTATGAATTTTGTGAGCTAAAACAAATATCTTCAGTTAATAAACAAAAAATATTCTTCAAAGACTCTTATCTGTCAATCAAATTACCCCACCTCCGCCCTAGGTGGGTAAGTCCCTCCCTCCCTACCAGAGAAATATTTGGGAGAAAACAGTATATTTAAATTTTTAGTAATAAATAATAACTCGGACTAAAGTTTGGATAATTTAATTGACATTTCTGGATTCCTTGCAGGTCAGGGAATATTTTGAATTTAAACTTCATATATTTTGCACAAACGATAAAATATTTGCTTTGTGTAAACCAAATTATTACATTAGCTCTAAAATATGTATGTCTAATGCAAAATCCATGATGTTTATATTCAAAATGATCATCATATTGTAAGAATTCCAGCAATGTAAATTATATTCTGGCCGGGTAATTTGTATGAATTTTATGAGCTCAATAAAAACTTATACTTCACCCGCGTATATGAGTAGATGCACTGCGGAAAGTGAAACTCCGGTTCTGGCGAGGTACCGCGTAAATGAGAAATCGCGGAAAGTGAAACCGCGTAAAGCGGGGTAATACTGTATACTGTATTATCATTCACATAAACTGATATGTTCACTATGCTACATCAAGACTCCAGACTAACTAGCCATTCTCACTTGGATATCAAAAGTTTACAAGGGTGTGGAAGGTCATGTAAATCATTTTTCTTAAGGTTTGTAAGTTTTCCTCTGATGTTTTCTACTTGTCTCTGGCAGAAAGGAGAGGTGAGTGACAGTTCAGGATTCCATTTATCCATCAGTTAAATTATTTTGTCTGCAGTAATTTAAACATAACTGGATTTTATTTTAGTTTAATGTAAAGTACTCATCTCGCTAGGACCCATGATGAGTTCAAACATCAGTGAACTCCAGCCTTATCTGACAAAGTTATGGCTCCTTAGAAATGGAAGACTACCCGGTATGTAATTTTGATTTGTGTAAAATGAGTTAATTACCTAGGATATGAGGAATGTCTTGTACAATTATGTACTGCCCTTGTTTCCTTTACATTCTTGAAGCTTTTTCAGCATAAATGTATGGGTCTTGAATTATATATATATTATATACAATATTAGGTTGACGTGAAGGATCCACATCATGAGCTGAAACAGCTAACAAAGATCTGTCTGATGGCTGACATGACCCTAATTTTGGCATGGGACCAGGAAGAGGCGGGACGAATCATAGAAGTGTATAAGATGTTTGAGCACAAGCCACCTGACCTTATAATGGAAAAGCAGGATGCTAATCCTTATTCTATGGTAAGCCAGCAGACTGTTCATGTATGACAATGAACAGTGCAGTCTTATAGTTAGTGACATGCTTGTGGGTGTTTTAAGTGGGAGTAATATTCATGTATTATTGCTGATTATTGTTTAAGAATTTTGAGTCATTTATGCCTTTTTGAAAAACAAGGTTTAAATTTTGTTTTAAGAAATGTTTTTTTTAATGCCTGGTTAATTTTCCTTTTAATACTCTTACTGCCTTATTAACATCATCCCCTCCCATGCATGGGGCTAGTTGTGACCTTCTGGTACAGAACAGCTGCGTTGTATCTTTTTCTTCAGATATTTTTGGTAACCATATAAATTTTTTTGGTCACGCTAGAGTTTAATTGGGAGTTGTTAGTTATAAACTACAGATTTGTATTCACTAAGTTTCTTACCATTGAATTATTTCAGCTTGTTGATGCTCTCACATCTGTGAGGTCCATTAATCGCACAGATGCCATGACCCTGTTGTCAACATTTGGCTCATTAGAGAAGATCATAGAAGCAACTGAAGAGGAGTTGTCAATGTGTCCTGGATTTGGACCTCAGAAGGCTACTCGGCTTCACAAGGTCTTACACCAAAACTTTAAAAAGCCTCAGTACCAGAAAAAGAAGCCAGACCGGCAGCCAGCAAGTAGTTCCTCAGACAAAGTAGCATCACAAGTACCTGAGTCCTCTGTAGAAAAGAATAGTTAATAAATGACCTGGAGTGTTTACTTGAGGTTGTTGTCTTTTTTTTCTCTAAGTTCTTTGTGGACCAAGGCACAGGGTGGCCAGAACCAGGAGTAATGTAGGCACTTCTTCATTCTTTAATTTTTTTCTACTTTCTTCTACCAAAAATATAACGAATATTATTTTGCAAGCATACTGTTAACTTTTCTTTTTGTTCAATCCAGAATGCGACTTCTAGCTCTATACCTAGGTATGTTAATGCCTAGCATTAACTCGCCAGGCCAACATACAGGCAATTAAAACATCTAATAATTTCTTAAATATGTAATATTAGGAGGACATGTTGCTACCTGGCATTTAATTGCAATTCTCAAAACCCCCTAACGCACCATCCATCACACGCATTGCTACCATCATCTTCTCGCCTGGCGAATCAGCTGTAAATATGCGCAGGGAAGGCTCCGCTAATTTGTGTTGTAATAGCTGAAATATTATGTGCCACGATTTTACTTTTGGTATTTATACATCTTAGCACGGTGAGGAAATCGAGTGACTTCTATTTTGATTATGCATCTCAAATATTGTGTCTGGGGCAATTTTTTATTTATGTTTTTCTTGCAGGAATTAGCCCACCCGGGCACAGGTCACTGACCCACATCGGGGCCTGGGGGGGGGGGCGAAAATGTGATAATAATAATAATAATAATAATAATAATAATAACAACAACAATAATGATTATTCATAGTAAATAAAATTTATAATAAAAAATACACAAATAAAATAATAATGATAACAATACAGTGGGGTATGCTATAACGAACGGATCCCACTACTAATATTCCTATAACGAACGGTTTTACCTATAAAATTGAGAATGCTATAACGAACGAAACTCCTACAACGAACATTATAAATTTTTTTTTTTTTTTTTTTTTACTAATTTATTGTTTCTGTATTACAAGTATTAATGATATTCTTTATTTCAAGGGTTTAGATGCATATTTATGCACTTTTTTACAATTTTTACAATTTAATATTATATTTTTCAGTGTTAAGTGGTTGTATTTGGGGGCCTGGAACGGATTAATCCAATAACGAACTAATGCTATAACGAACAAGGTTCTAGAACCAATTAGATTCGTTATAGCATACCCCACTGTATTAATAATAATAATTAAATAATAATAATAATAATAAAATTAATAATAATAATAATAACAATAATACTTTAATAATAAAATAATAATAATAAAAATAAAGAAATACTGTACAGTACAAGAATGAAAAAAGATCAAAAGTGAGAAACACGACCTGGACCTATGAATTATTAATATTTTTATTATTATTATTACATTTTATCCCCTTAGTCCCCAATGTGGGTCAGTGACCTATGCCCGGGTGGGCTGATCCCTGTAAAAAAAAAAAAAAGACTAACCTAACCTGACCTAACCATTTTGAAATCCGAAAAATTTTGAAATCCAAAATGCATCTGGCCCCAAGGATTTCGAATAAGGGATTGTCAACCTGTATATACAGTGGTCCCTCTGTTAATGAACGGTTCGATTAACGAAATTTCGGTTAACGAATTACCTCCCATAAGGATCTAAAATTCAGTTAACGAACAAAACTTCGATTAACGAAATTCTTACAAACATCATGTTTTGTTGTAAGCATTAGCTGATGGGCTAGTCTGCCAATTCAGTAATCTGTTCTATGTTTACATTCGTTTCCAGTGGAGTAAATATCAAGCAAGTTGTGCTCTTTAATATTTTTGCATTTTTTTATATTAAAATTATTAGTCATTTTAACATTTATTTAACATATTGATAATATATGCAGTACAGGGAACTAGTTTTTTGTGAGTCCATCAGACGCTTGACTCAGTCAACAGGCGTCAGTTGGGCTCTGTTGACAGTGGGGTGAACATCTATTTTGTTGATGTCTTGAATATTTCGCATTTTTCATTGAAATTATTGGTCATTCTGAAATTTAGTTAACATATTAATAATGTATAGCACAGTGCAGTGTTGATTTAAATAAAATAATCTTGAATTACACCTAGTGAACTTAAAATTTTATGGGTGAAGTGACTGCATCAAGCATGGGTCCCCTGAAAGGTGATTTCTCCTCCATCCCCACTTCCTTCTCTTCTCCCTTATCCTCCACCCCCACTTCTAATTCCCATCATCATCATCAACCAGGAACCTTCTACATACACACCTCAAAGTAAGTGTATGTACTACATTTTTTTTTTTTAACTTTGTAAAAAACTTTTTGATGAGCTGGAACCAATTACCCAATATCCCATTGAAACAATGGATTCGGTTAACGAAACGTATCAGCTCTCCCAAAACGAGTGTCTCTGTACAGGTGGCCAGGTTTTTTTTTTTTTTTTCACCAAAATCTACTGACCCATGATCCTGGACAATGATGATGGGATGTATAGATTATCATGTTTATCTGAAAGACCCAATAGACTTTAAGCTCTAGTGGCTGGACAGAATCCTCTGAGCAGATCTACCCTTGGAATTATTTCATGACCCATTAGTTGCTACAGGTCAACCATAATAATTCAGGCTAAGTCCCTACTTTCCAGCCTACATCCTGCTACAAAAGGGAGTACAGTAGGGGGAGTATTTGAGGCACCAGGCACCAAGCTTTGTTATAAAATGGAGTTCAGGATTTATAACCCTATGCCCGTTACTGGGCGACTCAAGTAACTAATCTAGATTGGAAATGAGATGAGGTGGAACTTATATAATTTTCAAAAGCTAATATGACATGTACCACATGTACAGGGTAAATAATATATATTTTCTTTACCTATGAGTCACAGTAATTCAATTTTACGTGGCAGTTTATCTCGCCCAGATTTTGCTTGGACAGTTGCGATATTTGTTGTTGATGTTATGTAGATGCTTCAACTGCCAGGGTCTTTAAACATAGTTAATACACTAGGCAATAAAGAGTTTGCAGAACTTAAGGAAGGTATACTTTGTGTTAATTTTTAGAATATATTATTAAACAATATTGCTCAACAGATTGTTCCCATATGACTGTACTGTATATCACTATTTAGTTTAGATATAAGGTGCTAAACCAGACAATAAACAAAATCCTGCACTTATCTTGTACAGGTCAAACACTTGTCACCAGCTTGTAACAACTGCTGCCACCGGCTATTAATATTAGCTCAGAGAAAACAGTGAAGGATATGAGCTAATGAAAAATATACATTGCCCAAGCAAAGTACAGTACATGATAACAAGGAATTACCAAGCAACTATACAGTACAGTACTGTGAAATATTTGGATGACAGTATCAAACAAATACCTGTATAGAGGTAAGCCTGAGATATTAGTTTGCCCGTGACACTCTCCACTTCTCATTTGTAACCTCTTTTTACTGTGCCCAAGTTGAGTTCAACTTTGTCAACTGTCTTTGTTTTTTAACCAGAACCTCTGTGCGGTGGTAGTTATTGTAAATGAATAACACAACCCTGGTCAATCATGTGACACTTTGCATGACTGAGAATCATAAAACTCACAACCTGCTACTGTAATAATTTCTGAAAAAAAAAAACAGAAACAGGTTATGAAAATAAAATTGGATCAGTATTTAATGAAATCTCACCTATTCAAATTAGTATACAGTATTTGGAAGTTCTAATTATTTTATATATTTTGTTATTACATTCAACCAAATCTTACTCTTTAGAGCCTGGGTGATTTAGGAGAAAATTACAACTAGGACACATCAAACCCTACAAGACAATCCAACACAAAGATGAAGCCAGTATAACAGCAAACAGTAAGTAAATGTTTATTATGAAGCCAACTAAGGATTACATGTACAGTACAGCACAGTATACTATAAAATCATTTGAAGACATTTAAGTAGAAAAAATTATTATCATGTCATTCATCATGGCCATATACTGTACTGTATGACCATATTACACTGTCAATTTAATAGCCAGTTATTTAAGGATGTAGGGCATGTAAACATACTAAGTTGAAAAGATATAACAAAGAGGACTACTAATTTGCTAACTTTTAGAGATCATGAACTAACCAAACATAACAACATCATAAGGCAGGTCAAGTTTGTTTGGTTCATGTCTTGTATATTCAAAATAAGCACTGTACCTGGTTTTGTGGTCCTGTCTATGGTATCTTGTATCAGAGGTATTATGTGATGAATATTAATAATTATTCATTGTTGTACAGTATTATTCTAATTGTCTGTTACAAGCAATGCAACACTGTATAGCTATTTTGTAATTATGATAACAGTTTTGCTGTTGAAAATCCCGGTGGCTCTCCATTTACACATTTTTAGTGCAGTTTCGCTTCTTCAGTCAAGTAATTGTAATCCTTTATTTTTTGTGTAGTCTGGATTAATTTATACTTTACACAGCAGGCATGGGGACAAAGCCAAACCTCCAGGTTTGAAACCAAAGCCATTTGAATGTTATGAAGCCAAAGCCAGACAATAAAAAAGTCATGAAGCCAAAGCCGAAGCCTAGGCTTTACAAGGCTTTATAAAACCTCAACACCATTATTTATATAATACTGCATTACCTTACATGTTGATGGGAATATGTATGGTATTCTAAGTTGCAGCAAGGCTTTGAGATAAGTTGACTTTATTTTAAGCTTATTGTTCTTGGGGGTAAGTTTTGACTCTCCCTATAGGCTGAAAAGGGTTACTTATAGAAGAATTTATTTTATTTTATTTAATGCACAGTACATACACATAGTAATTTACAGTCACAAATCACAGAGAAGCAACTGTTTGGTATCTTTGATCTCTTCCGACATTCGAGTCAGGTCCTTGTGAGAATAGACCAGAAGGGTTAACTTGTGATGTCAGTGTGGATCTCAGTTCATGTAAGCTTGTAAGGTCAGATCAAGGTCACATAGCCAACTCACATTTGATCTGCCTTGCCTAAAATTTAGCCTTCCTGCACTACCTGGGGTGGAGACCCTTACCGGATTGACCCATGACAATATGTTTTTGCGTCAGCACTGACATGTTGGTCAGTAATTTTGGCACCGACCTGACAATCCATGTTAGTTTTCAAGTTTGGTCAAAATTGTGTTGCCTTGGATCCACCACTAATTTTATTTTATTTAATGATATAAATACAATTATGGTCAGTGTGTCTGTGTAAAGATGAAAATCTGAAGTCAGACCTGTGGCTTCAAAGTTGAAGCCAGTGCTATGCCTCTGGCTTCAAAGTCAAAGCCTTTAAAAAGTTTTGCAGCAAAGTCCAAAAAGCATAGCTTCCAGAAGCCAAAGCCGGCTTCAGCCCCATGCCTGGTGCACGGGTCAGCACAGTTACCATGTGGACCCAAGGAGTGTACCATGCGTTACCCATGCACACACATCCTAATGTTGAGATGGTCTTTCTCCCTCCAAACACCACATTACTTTTCTAGTTCCTCAGCCAAGGTGTTATCTCACCTTTTAGTTTATTACACTTATCACATTTTATGCTGCATCCTAGATGCTATGGACAATGTTTCATATTTAACAGTGGCCTAATGGTGGAAGAACTACACCATAGCAGACTGTATAGAATATATAAAAGTCAGGGTGAATTAAAGCATTCCTTCATTTGGGCAAGTTGGAAAAATTTATGACCAAACGCAGTAAATTTCATGGTTCCCAATAGTACAGAGTTGCTCATGTTGGAAGGGAGGGATTTGATGGTCTTCAGGTGGCAGTGAGGAGGAGTTGCAGGAGCTGATTTAATCAAGCACAATGCTGAGGACAATGAAAAAGAGGTGGAGGTGACACTAAAGCCACTGCTAACAACGAAGAGTCCAAATAAGTGTTTTTGATTTACAATGAAAATGAGACATTAATATTGCTGAGGATCCATTTATGGAGTGGAACTTGAAAATCCAAGAGGGAGACTGACTGTGAACTGACTTCTCACAGAAATTTGTTAAAAGAATTACAGAATACATAAAGCTCATCATCATAACCTCCACCATGTTCTTTTGTTAAAATGACACCACCAGGGTTGGGGTAAATACAAGAATTCAGTATTTAAATGCAAATACAAATACTGTACTTCTAAATTCTAAGAATACAAATACTGCAGAAAGAAACAGTGTTACTCCAAGTATGAATACGAATACCTGTACTTTATGAAAGTACAGTATTCATATATCAAACCTATTCCTTATATATACAGGTGTTCCTCTCTTTACGAACGAGTTACGTTCCTAAGGCTTGTTTGTAAGTCCAACTTTACTCCTGTAGACACCAAACATATTGTAAAAAATGAAAAGATTATGGATATTTAGTACAGCTATACCCTTTAATACAGCCTTAAAACCTGGCTCACTCTTCTCCTCTTAGGTAATGTTTGTTCTATCTGGAATTTTCTTCAAAATAATCCAGTCTCATCCACATTAAACACCTTTTCTGGCAGGTAACCTCCCCTCAGTGATGATGTTTGTATCTCTGAAAGTTTGTAAGTTGAACGTTCTTAAGTAGAGGAGCACCTGTACAGTACATTTATTTATACTTTCCTAGTACAGTACTGTAGTAATAATAGAAACAACATATCATCATTAGTTATTACAGTACTATACTAGACCTACTTTACACTTCTACCTTCTAGACAGGCTGCAAGCAGGCAGGCAGTGTTGCAGCCATTTAGCAATTAAACAATTATAAAGTGTGCGTATATAGTACATGTTTGCCACATAAAATAATTGTTTTCTTTCCAATTGCCTTTAATAACAACTATGCTAGATATAATATTTAAATCCAATTTCAAACAGGAGTCAGAAAATACAGTCGGCCCTTAACATACGCGGGGGTTAGGTAACAGAGATACCCGCGAATGTTAAGAATCTGCGTATTTTTGCTGCCCCCCCTAAAAACACCCCTGGCCCCCCATGTCCTTATTTAAGTAAAGAAAAACACTATGTACATGTTTACAAACACTTTATTTAATATTAAAATGCAAAAAGAACTATAAAAACAATTAATAATGTACTGGCTGGCATCTCCACTCGTCCCTGCTCCCACCTCCAGAGCGCCACCACTCGTCCCTGCTCTATCCTTCCGCCTCTACATTGTCACTACTGCCGACAACAAACACAAATGTTTTGTGAATAACTGCACCTCTACTTCCTATGTACAGTACTGAACTGCACTGTGCTGTGCATTTTTACAAACAATAAACATGGCAAGAAAAGCTATAAAAAAAAGAGATAAAAAATTTCACATTACTGTACCGTACCTATCCTCGGCGACAGGAGGGGGGTCATCGTCACTCGTTTCCATAACGGGTGGTGAAGTGGGGGCGACGGTGGATTCAGCTGCTTCCTCACTGCCGCCAGTGATGGATGGTGTTGTATCTCTCCTTCGGCGATCAAAGAACATGGTGATGGGGAGTTGTCGTCTCTTTCTTTTCATCTCTTCCATGATGTTTTTGTATGGAGCGAAAACGTCATCCATCCCTCGCATGAATTTCAGGGCACGCACCATGGAGGGGTCCATACCATAGGCCAGGTTTTTCAGTGCCTCAATATACCTGGTCATCTCCCCCCAACTTCTCCAGCATTATTTCTTGTAGCTCTTCCTCATCCTCTTTCCCTTCTGCTTCCAATTCCCTGCCTGAGTTTACCAACTCCTCTAGATCCTCCTCAGTCAGCTCAGTGTCGTGCTCTTCAATTCGCTCCCTAATCTCATCCTCTGCCATGTCCTGGAAGCCTTCAGCAGCCACTTTCCTTGACAGTGCCAGGGTCTTTCTCACTGCCTCTGCGATGGCTTCATCAGGAGAAAATCCAGTGAAATCTTTCACACATTCAGGCCACAGTGCTTTCCAGCAGGCATTCACCTTCTCAGGCTTCACATCCTTGAACGAATCATCCACCACAGATACGCAGTTGGCGATGTTGAAGCTCCTTCCAGTACTGAATCACATCCAGTTTTGGGTCATGGTCTAAGTCTGAGTGCAGTCTGGCCATCACACATTTACTGTAGTTAGCCTTGAACGCCTTGATAACTCCCTGGTCCATTGGCTGGATAAGTGCAGTGGTGTTAGGTGGAAGGAACAACAAAGCTGGTGTCTTTGATGCTCTCTTGGGGGCCATGGTAAATGTGGGTAGCAACTACAATGCTGATGTCAACACAGGCGTGGTTACAGCGAGACTGACTGACCGAGGGAGCGCGGGAACGCAGGGTGGCGTGGCGGGCGATGTATGTGTGTGTGTGTGTGTGTGTGTGGCGGGCGGTGTGCAGTGTGTGGTGTCGCGAGTGATTTGAATGTATATTCCTCCGGCGGCAATCCGCATATTTGCAAATCCGTGTATGTTAAACCCGCGTATGTTAAGGGCCGACTGTATTGTTCAAACAATAAATTTAAGCTACATATTGGCATCATACGGGCATACATCTCATATGATGTGAACACGTCGCCAGTAGCCTATTCACTGCAGTGATGGCCGTTATTTACTAACAACCTGTTTGAATATTTAATTTCACTGATATAATATACCTTCTCGGGTAACTTGGGTCACAGATTTATATGCCGATTGTACAGTACGTACATCCAAAGAGCTCACTCTCTCTCTCTCCATTCGTCCAAAATATATTCAGCAGCTAAGTGTATGGTTATTTCTATAAATAAAACTATTTTTATTCGTCCGGTGATCTTAGGAATATGAATACTTTGCCCGAGGATTCAAAGAGGAATGCAAATACTTGGATTTCTAATAGTAATGCAGAATACAAATACAGCACAGACACACTCCGATTTGTGGAAAGGTTTCATTCCTGGACACAATCCGTAAACCTTAAATGACCTTTCCATAAGATAAATATGTACTGTACCCTGGACTGAATCACAGATGGCATCTCACAAGGGGATGCGCTCAGCCGCCTTACACATAATCTTCCACAAATAGTGTTGTTACGCTATACTAGTTACCTTCCGTAATAACAGAAACTCTTGCACAACCCAAATTATTTTTATAATGGGACTTATGGGAGGTATTTTATATCCTCGAATTTCTGTAAACTGAGTGTTCTGTAACCCAGGAAGTGTGTACTTCATCCCTGGACACCACCACTGCTGCCTCCAGCTCTGCTTCTCACTGCTCAAATTCCCCAGTATGTTAAGATGAGTCCTCAAACATTTTTACTTGTGTACAAAGAAATGTGTATTCCCTTTATGTGTTTGCCCTTCGGACAATTATTTCTTTTACCTGTAGTATTGTGTGTGTGTGTGTGTGTGGACACATACACACAAAACACATACAAATAAATAATAATTGGAAAATCCTCTCACAAATAATCAGAAACAAATGTTAAAATTGTGAGTCTAACCTCCATCTGTGCTCTATTAATAAAGTACTGTAATAGAGAAGGGATCTGAGTGTAGACTCACATTTTTAATAAATTTGTTTCTGATTGTTTGTGAGAGGATTTTCCAATTATTATTTATTTGTATGTGTTTTGTGTGTGTGTCTACACACACATATATATTTCCAATACAGGTAAAGGAAATTACTGTCTCTAGAACGAATGGCTCCCTGTCCCAGCCGCAAAAATGCCGGCAACTTTAAAACTACCCACAGACATTCTTGGGTACATCCAGGGTGTCATCCCCGAATAACCGAGAACTGCGAACTTGGGGGCCCCCTGTACAGTGCTGTCCTGTACAGATGACAATTTTTTTTATATATTGTACATACTGTATTATTATTATCTGCATTGCTGTTGCTATTATCACTGTACAATTGGCCTAAGAAGTGATTTCACCACTTTCAGTATTTGTCAAAACAGCAGTATCTGGCAACTACATCTTAGGGATGGTGTTTGCACCATGTGGGGTGGGACCGTTGGAGCTGAATATGAATGCCGACCGCTGTGTGACAAGTAAGCTGGGTGACTTTTTAAGGTGATGTTTTATAAAAAACTCGAGTCGAGCATCTCGCTGCCATACTTTTTTCTAGCATCCCTCGTAGTTTTGCAGGTAAAAGGCTTTCAGAAGGGTAGTAGAAAAAAATGAAGTTATATCCCAATCCCATGCTTGATAAACGAATATTTGTGTAGAAAAAAAAGAGCAGCTAGTCTGTTAACACTTACAGTTCTTCTGTGTGTAGCATATTCTGCACATGGCTCATTTTCTTGCTTAAAAAATGTTTTACTTTTATAATAATAGGAAAGGCATTTGTTGCTCTAAATAATTATTAATTTAATAAGTATTCATAGAATTTAGAAATTTAGCCATTTTTCTTTTCATAAGTAACGAATGATCATTGAATGGGAATCTTCAATGTTTTATATTTTATTCTTTGATGCTAAAAATAAAATACCTTCATAGCATAAATGGCAATTAGTTTTCTTATAAATACTATGGAAAAAATCATAGCAATAAACATTCATTAAGCTTATAGCTTCTGCAAAGCTCAAAGCTTTGTTTTATGAGCACTTCCTGCCTTACATTATTGTCCATCAAGGTGGTGAATATGGAAAATATTTGTTCATATAATCAGTAAAGACTTGGCATAAATGTGGTGAGTATGAATATCAATTCATATTTTTTATTTGATACTCATTTCAGCTTCACACAAATAATGTACACCTTTTCATTTTGACATCCAATTCTAACTCTGCAAATTACAATATTCCTGAATGTCCCCAGCCAATAAAATCTTGTGTCATATTATTGTTTCAAAATACATATATTGTACCATACTAAATTTTAACTACTGTACTTGATTTGTTCTTACAATATTCTTAAGAAAATCTATTTTAGCATTTATTAATTAATTTCTGTAACTATTTCACAAAATTGTGTACTGCCTCAAAAAAAAAATAAAAGCAAAAATAAAGCAAGGCTGGTACTTTAGTTGCCAGATAACACTTTGTGATTTAAATTTTCTGGAAATCGTGACATCACCGATTTGGGCAACTGTACAGTACTGTATTATGAAGAATAATTTAGTTACCAAAAACTGTTGGTGAGTCAATTTATCACAAGACTTTCCTTCTGTGTTATTGTCTGAACTTCTTATGTCAAGACTCATTATAGATCTTGGCTTAGCATTTCATATTGTTCACTTTATTTCAAGTTTAATTCAGTTTCTTATTAGTACATGTATAAAATTATTTACTGTTCTGTACAATACTGCATGTATATTTCATTTGAGTAGCCCAGTGCCAGAATGGGATAAGTGCCATTTGTAAAAAAGTGAGAAAGTTGTATTACAGTGAAGTCATGTCAACATCATTTTTTTCAATGAATTGTCAACCATATTAGCAGTGTCCTAAAGACATATATACCACTTGTACCTGATAGGGGGAAGAATGAACTATGCATTTCACAAAGAAAATGTGTTTGGCTGATCGTGGCACTTATCCTGTTCTGGTGTTGTGCCACTCACATACTATGTTTATTATTACCGTATAGTTATCATTTACACCAAAAAAATTAAATAAAATCACCATCTGTAGCATTTTAATACAGTCTGGTGATTTTTTTTCCTTAGGAATGTACAGTGTCTCAATTTTTATAATGGGAGTCAATAGGAAAATGTACTCAGATTTATGAAAGGTTTTTCAGGAATGGAACTCTTTCATACACCAGGGAAAGCCTGTACTACTACAGTACAGTACTATTACACTACTTTTACTACTACTACTGTACTGTTATTATTACTATTATTATTATTATTATTATTATTATTATTATTATTATTATTATTATTATTATTATTATTATGGTGCTTTTGAAACTCCATATCAAAGAACACATGAGATGAGGTATATTTGAAGTTCTGATGTTTCTGAGTCCAGTATACTGTACAGTAGTTCCAGTGTGGCATCCAAACAAAATCAAAAGGTAGTGATTCTTGACACAGTAAGTGGGGAGAGTTGTGGATGGGACATTAGCTAAAAGGTAAGCTCTTGACAATGTGACTTATCATAAGAATTTGAATGACATTTTCAAGGATTACCTGAGTAACTTCACCCCAGCGTTCCACACACTTTGCCCGCACTTCTTTGCTGAGGATATATATTAAAGACACATTACTTTACTTCCTGATAATGTATCTAAATTTCAAATACTGTATGTGTGTGTGTGTGTGTGTGTGTGTGTGTGTGTGTGTGTGTGTGTGTGTGTGTGTGTGTGTAGATTATATATACGGTATATACTGGGTATGTGTGTGTTGATAAATAATATTTTTGTATTCATTCACTTAAATCCTCAAACAAATTTACATTGGTACAGCTTGTATGTAAACAATGAAGACATACAAACAATGGCAAACTATGCTGATTCTGTCAAGGATAACCAAAATAAGTCATTAAAAATATATTTTGAAATATGTGTGTGTACCTGTGTATTAGAGCCTATAGTACTGATTGTTTGCTTGCCTGCATATGTGGTTGACTAATCATTATGTGAGGAATAAAGATCATATATTACAAATTTCCTGCAACTAATACCTAAGAGCATCCTCTTGAGTGTGAGGTAACACAAGATTCAATAATGTCTATACTAACCTGATCTAGCTCAATCTTGCTGTAGTCTTCAAGGTGGCGAATGTCACCCATGGTCAGTCCGTACCACTCATCCAACCAGCAGAACACCTGTCTGTAACCACACACAAACATTACCACTAATACACAAACACCACAGTTTTCCCTTCACCTATCACTGAGTGCATTTTTTCTCTTTTTTTTTTTACCTTAATATGGGGAGATGCACATAAATCATAAATGGCCACAAAATATAAAGCCTGAGCATGTGCACATACACACACACACACAAATGAAACAAAATCAGAATTATGTGTAACAGACAGTTAGTATGACATGGCCGCCACACCTATGAAAGTTGGTGATTATACGTCGCTCAAAGTCTTGGATGTATCGCTCAAGCCTTGTCTGCAAGCCAAACCAGCGAACCTCACATGATACCAGCTTGTAGCATGTCATTACTGGCTCACTCTGAGGTAAAGAAGGATGGTTATGAGTGTCACAGTTTCTTATATAATGTGCCATCAATATGCACCTATTACACTTGATCTAAGCCTAACCTAGTAGACCTGTAATTTTTTGGAAAATCTTTACATCATCTGCAAACATTTGTATGGAAGAATGAATAGTATTTGGCTTATCATTTATAAAAAAACATCAGTCTAAGCACAGTGCTATGTAGCATACCACTTGTCATTGACCACCACACATCATTTATGATCATAAAGTCTCCGATCCATGATTGAAAATTCCCCCTGATTTACGTATCCTTCCAATTTAATTTTCAGACTTTCACAAGGTACACTGAAAAACCTTGACAGTCTCAAGCACTAGGTCAAACAGTTAGGGCTCATCCTTATGTGTACCTCTCCTAGTCCATTACTATAACAAATCAGGAGTTGATCTGTCCACTGGTTGACACACTCAGGGGTTGGCCTGTTCATGGGTTGACCCAATCAGGGGTTGGCGTATATATGGGCTGACCTACTTAGGATTGTTTTATCTATGGATTGAATTACTCACTGATTAGTCTATTTGTTGGTTGATTTATTCAGGGATTGCTCTATCTGTGGGTTGAACTTCTCAGGGATTGCTCTATCTGTGGGTTGAACTTCTCAGGGATTGCTCTATCTGTGGGTTGAACTTCCCAGGGATTGATCTATCTGTGGGTTGAACTTCTCAGGGATTGCTCTATCTGTGGGTTGAACTTCTCAGGGATTGATCTATCTGTGGGTTGAACTTCTCAGGGATTGATCTGTCTGTGGGTTGAACTTCTCAGGGATTGATCTATCTGTGGGTTGAACTTCTCAGGGATTGATCTATCTGTGGGTTGAACTTCTCAGGGATTGATCTATCTGTGGGTTGAACTTCTCAGGGATTGATCTATCTGTGGGTTGAACTTCTCAGGGATTGCTCTATCTGTGGGTTGAACTTCTCAGGGATTGATCTATCTGTGGATTGAACTTCTCAGGGATTGATTTAACTGAAGGTTGACCTACTTTGGGATTGGTTAATCTGTGGGCTAACTTAATCATGTACAGAGTGTATTGGTATGTTTGTAAATTGATCTAACCAAGGGCTGAACTATCTATGGTCTGACTTCTGACCTTTAGCCACCACTGGGAACCCTTCAAGGGGCCACGACCAGTCTTCTTGGAGACGAACTTAGAAGGATCCTCATCTGGGTGATAGTCTCCAGAGTAAACAGGATCATTCACAATATCCACCATCACCACCTCCACTGACCGCCATTTGTCCCTTGGTAAATTGTGGATCTGTAGAACAATAATAAACCGAAAATAAAATTGTTCCACTTATGGATTCTTAAATGACAGAGGCAGAAAAGAGTAATTAATTGTGAAAATAAACAATGGTCTGGACATATAATCCTATTTTATGGCTAGGGAGGTAGTTAGTGAAGGAGACGCAGTGGAGGAGTTTGTCTCTCAATATACCGTATATTCAGTGTATATTAAATGATTTTCCAGACTAAAAATAATCTTTTATATAAATTTTCAGTTAAAAAGCTTCCTAATCTTACAACATACTAAAAATGTATGATGAAACAATTGTGTGACAGAAAATAATTATGGTAACCAACATAATGGATGAGGTACATATAAGGTACTAAAACCTGTCACAATATCTGTAAGATGAAGTGAATAGACAGAGAGACAGACATATTTATTTCGTAAACGTCATAAAATTTCATATTGGTTCACCATGTACAGAGACAGTACAGTACAGGTAAACCTCTATTTACGATGTCCCAATCTACGATAATTCATGTTAGCGATGCTTATATACAGGGGTATTAAAACCACTCCCCTGTGATGTAAGCAAACTTGCATTAACGATATTCATCATCCCGCCAACTCGGAATATAAAATGCATCATTCACTTCATGTCAGCTGGGCATCATTTACCGAAATGTTGCCTCGTGGCCATCTGGTGAACTACAGTCCAGCCATTGTTTCTACTTGGTTACACATTTGTAAGAAATGGGGCTCAATGTTTATTGGCCATCATCGGTGTTAATCTGTAGCATCCATTTTTTTTTTTTTTTTTTTACATTGAGAGGACATCACTAACATTCACATTGCACTTTGTTTTGGTGACTTGGTTTGATTTTATGATATGTTTTTTGTGACTGAAAAGTACTTTGTCTGTTGTTGTGAACACAAGGTGATCAGTGCTGACCGGTATCATTATTTTTATGTTATTGTTGTTTTTGTTCAATCCAGAATGCGACGCCTAGCTTTATATCTAGGTACGTAAATGCCTAGCATTAATTACTTAAATACGTAATATTAGGAGGACACGTCGCTACCTGGCATTTAATTGTAATTCTCAAAACACCCAACCTCACCCTCCATCACACGCACTGCCACTGTCACCTTCTTGTCTGGACAGTACTACAGTATACAGGTACAGTACATGTACTGTACTTAGTTTTAGTGACTGTGAAGTGTTTTCTCTGCTTTAGTGACTGTGAAGTGTTTTCTCTGCTTTAGTGACTGTGAAGTGCTTTCACACTGACTGTGAAGTGCTTCAGTGACTGAAATGTTTTTGCACTGATTGTAAAGTGCTTTTCTCTGCTTTGGTAACTGTGAAGTGCTTTAGTGACTATGAGGTGCTTTTTCTCTGACTGTTAAGTGCGTTACCTCTGTTTTTGTGACAGTGAAGTGAGCAGTGTAACTTTGAAAATGTCTGGCAAGCATTTTGCTCACCATCTTAAGGCCAGGACAAAGGCTACACCTCCAGTCTCCACCCTTCAGACTCCCCAGAGTCTGTGTGAGACTAAGATTGATGTCTTCACTCCCCTTTCAAGGGTCCCCATAGCCTCAAAAGGGACATGCGATGATGACCAGAGTAGTTCATAATGATTTGGTGAGTGTTATTTGCGTTGTAGTGTAAGTAGTATTCTAGGAATTTTTTCTTTTCGGTGATACATATGGGTGTCCGACTGGCCAGGAACCTATTCCATTGAATCCCATGTTATAATGAACCTGATTTACAATATTTCGAACTGAGATGGGGTTTTCGGGAACCTAACCCCATTGTGTATAGAAGTTTACGTGCATACAATGAACACTGATAGTATAGGTTACAGTATAGAATATACATACACACAGGGCCAGGTCTAGCTTGAGGGGCCCTGTGCAAAATAATGGTTGGGGCCATCCCATCATGCCTAGTCCCTCACCCACATACAGTATACTGTATTCCTGATTTTCTGAAAGAACATCTTGATAAAAACACACATCCAATATAAGAGGAACAGCTGATGCTCACAAAACGTGTTTGCCGTAAGGATTTCGTTAATCGAAGTTTTGTTCGTTAAACGAATTGAAGATCCTTATGGGAGGTAATTCGTTAACCGAGGGACCACTGTGTGTGTGTGTGTGTATGTGTATATATATATATATATATATATATATATATATATATATATATATATATATATATATATATATATATATATATATATATATATATATATATATATATATATATATATATATATATACAATGGGGTATGCTATAACGAACGGATCCTACTATGAATATTCCTATAACGAATGGTGCTACCTATAAAATTGAGAATGCTATAACGAACGAAACTCCTACAACGAACATAATTAAAAATTTTTTTTTTTTTCTAATTTATTGTTTTATTATTACAAATATTAATGATATTCTTTATTTCAGGGGTTTAGATGCATATTTATGCACTTTTTTACAATTTTTACAATTTTATATTATATTTTTCAGTAAGTGGTTGTATTTGGGGGCCTGGAACTGATTAATCCTATAACAAACGATTGCTATAACGAACAAGGTTCTAGAACCAATTAGATTCGTTATAGCATACCCCACTGTATATATATATATACTGTATGTCCAATTTAGGCTGCACAGTTTGCCTTTTCTTTTCATTGTAAATGTCCCTGTAGCAAGCAAGTGCATCTTGGATCAGTCTGTCAACTTTTGCAAAACGCTCAACATTTTGATCAATTTCTTCAAACATTTGCATCCCCTTATTAATAGGAGCAAATGCCTCTGCCATTTGTTTCACTAAAAACTTTTTGGGGGGTGCAGGTCCTTCTTCTACATTTTGTCTCTCTTCTTCCTCTGCAATTTTCTGTGCTTCCAGTTCAATAAGATCCCCGTTACTTAGTTCTTCTGCTACACTTTCAACCAACTGCTCAACATTTTCATTATCAACTTCTAACTCCAGCTGTTGACCCAACTCCACTATCTTGTTACTAATCTCAGAAATTGCTTCATCTTCACTAAATCCTTTGAAACTGTTCACATATCTTTTCAGGACGTTCTTCCATATTCCATTCATGCACTGACCTGTAACCTCATCCCATGCTGCAGCGTTGTTCTTTGTACATTGCAAAATGTTGTAGTCCTTCCAAAACTCTCTGAGCGTTTTCTTACCTTCAGTAGCAGCAACAGCTTGAACGAAGGTCGTACGTAAATAATACGCTTTAAAAGCAGCAATAGCACCTTGATCCATGGGTTGGATAATCGAGGTAGTGTTAGGTGGAATATAGACTACTTTAACATTAGGGTGCAGGTCGTCCAGGTGTGGTGGGTGTCCCAGAGCATTATCTAAAATTAATAAAATCTTGAACACAACCCCTTGTTGTAGACAATACTCCTTGGCTCGTGGAATGAAACAACTCTACCAATCCTCAAACAGTGCTAAGGTCATCCATGCTTTCTTATTACTGCGATAAAACACTGGCAGTGTGTGCTTGCTGACATTTTTAAAAGCCCTTGGGTTCTCTGAATGATATATCATGAAGGGTTTTACCTACCGGTTTTTATTTCTTAAGTTTCTTATGAGAAAAATTTACCCACTTAATGTTCCACATAACGTTAAAGTTTACAAGAACGTAACCACGATGTTAACGGAGGACTTACTGAACACATGTTATTATTTTGTCTCCTATAGATGCATGCCGCCTTATTTTTAAGTTGTCTTCTTGTCAACCACGTGTTCCTTCTTTATGAATACCATATCTGTGGCTAATTCTATCTCTGCTAGGCCATGCCTGTTATTTCCATATACATAACAAATAGTGTGAACATGATTGGGGACTATTTGTGGGTTTTTTGTGTACAGTACTTGTCACAGGTGTATATGCCATTATCACAAGAATAATGTTGTCTGTTGTACATGAGAGTTTCTGTCACCCAACAGAAGAGATCCACTGTTATGATCTATACAGTAAAAAAAAAAATTATTTGCAATAGTAACAAAACGTCAATCTGTCAATGAATAACTTTTGTAAAACTACTGGTGTATGTATGTGACAGCAGGGAATAAGTTCAGTCAGCCAAAGTGTGGAGCCCATAAGTTACTAACCATCTCAGTTTTATCAGCCTGATTTGATATGATTTGAATTTAATGAGTAAAGATTATTATAGTACTGTACATGCATACATATACAATACACTGAGTACAGTATAAATATTTACTGAGGATCACATTGGAATACTTATTTCCAATATGATCCTCATAAATGGTGATAAAAAATAAAAGCATTAGTAAGTGTAGTACTGTACTGTACTCACATTTTCTGTGCTTCCTCTATCAGCAGCATGGAATGTCTCAATACAGATGAAGAAGTCATCCTTCAAATAAGGGTTCTGCAAGAAAGAATAATCGGTGTTATAAAAGTCCCAAGAAGAGGAGTGCTAAACACTTGCGACAGCTTTCAACACATTCACATTTGATGGACCAAAAGTACTGTACTTAGATCATGAGGTTAGTGTTAGTTAGGTTATGCTAGTTGTGGTTGCATTGTTTGGAAATTACAGTAAATAGTTTAGCTGTTCTGTTCATGGTACCCTTTTTTTTTTCTTTACAGAATACAGTATGATGCATGTCTTCTAGTGAGTTTGCCAACTTTTGGGCAGAATTAATTTAAAAAAAATAATTGTCAGTTATTATTTTTACCTACGAATATACAGTACTGTAAACAGGATGTCCACAAGGTCCTATTCTGGTTTTAAAATTTGATTGCAACACAAACAAAAGAGAGAGAATAATGCAATTTTTTTGCATTTTGTTGCATAGCAAATCAAGTTTTATATGTTGTTTAATACACCTCAACATGGGCACCATTAGTGGATGATAGCACATCCAACTGGTATTCCACTTTAGTCCAAGTGTTAGCTAACATATCCTTCATCACTCTTCTGATGCCACCATTTTCGCCCCCCAGGCCCCGTTGTGGGTGGTTTGACCTGTGCCCGGGTGGGCTAATTCCCGTAAAAAAAAAAAAAAATATCCTTGTATGAAGTGTTTCAATATCAGCAATTGGGGTCTGTAAAAAAAATCCTTGACATGCCCCACAAGAAACATATGGATATACAGTAATTCAGTATTGGGAAACCATGGGGGCCAGGAAATGGGTCCATTGTGTCCATTCCATCTGTCAAGGAAGTTACACAATCAAACTCCAGTGTGGAGGCTGATGTGGGTCAGTGACCTGTGCCCAGGTGGGCCAATCTCCGTAAAAAAAAAAAAGACTTTGCAAACCAGATGACACATTGAGCTTTCTCCTGTGTAGTTGCCATCTTCATTCAAGCTTTTACCATTAACAAGTTGACAGTGAAGAGTACAAACTGTATCTATTGAAGGAAAACAATTGCAAGTTAAGCAACAAGATGCAAAACTGCACTATTACAGTACTGTACTAGTGGTACAGATATATAAATTTTTGGTTTTACTGTATACAGTATTATATATATACAGTAGGGTCGGGATATATAGCGAGATAGGGTCCAAGGATGTTCACTATATACTAAATTGCGATATATAATTACATGTAATCAATGGGGGAAATAGGGTTAGGTTCTGGAGGCCAATAAAAGTGACTAAGCTTGACAAAAAATAGCAGTTTAAAGTTAGCAGAATATAAATTACATTGCTGGAATCCTTGTAAGACAGCGAATAATTTGAATATAGGCATCATATATTTTGCATAAGAGAAAAAAATGTAGTCATTTGTATTCAAATGTAGTTAGATCTCATATTTCGCGTGATTTCATGTTGAGAGCACTATCTAATGTAACCAAGTCTTATATTTGGCATAAAATATCGTGAATTCGTGAGATCCAGCCAGCTGAATGCGAGATCCAGCCAGCTGAATGCGAGATCCAGCCAGCTGAACGCAAAATTAAGCCAGCTGAACGCTAGATCCAGCAAGCTGAATGTTGGCCACCGTCTTGAATGACATCACAGCCCTCATACCAGTTACAGTCATTTCTGCTACAACGGGTGTTTTGTCAACGTGAATTGGTTGCAACGCGGTTGGTGAATAGGGAACGCTGTTTGTAAAACGCAAACTTTTGCATACGAATGTTGGCTATAACAGGATTCCATTGTAGGGTTTCGTGATATTATGTTGTCTAGCACTCAGGATGGGATTGATGGAAACTCTAGGTGGTGGTTTTCTTATATAATATAAATTATATGAAAGACAGTCAGGTGCTGGAGATGCCATGTGGTGAGGAGCTGCCTAGTAGACATGTTCGGTGAGTAGCGTGCTGAAGGAGGTAGATGTGCAGGAGCTTCGTTAGAGGAGATGTTGCCTGTTGCTGGCCTCCAGGTTGAATGAGAGCTGGACAGCGAGGAGCTTGCTTGGAGGAGGTGTTGCGTGTTCAGGAACCGAGGCCAGACTGAATCTTAATGGAGAGACAGAGCTTATATACACAGCAGCCGGAAGTAAATCCGTGGGAACTCGCCGGTTTCTCGACTCCGTTGCTAGGGAAGACGTAGCAGGTGGCTGGTTGCTAGGATACTGTGGCATCTGGTGACGCCCCCCCCCCCCTGGGCTGCTCGTTTGGTTGCTAGGATACTGTCGCATTGGAATGCGGATACGCAGTTGTAGGGGAGACGTCCACTACAATACTCCCCCTTCCCTCCAGGCGGTGTCGGAGACTTGTTGTCTGTAGAGTTGCTTAGCACATGTGAGGCAGACCGGGCGGTGCATGCCTCATGTGAGACAACGGCGATGGCGTGATGAGCCGATCGCTGAAATACAACTGTCTAGATACACACTATCTGTGGGAGAAGGGAGAAAAAGGGTGTGTGGAGGCGATGAATGTTGTGCTTCCCTCACGACAGGTACAGGGTCGTCAGATGCGCCTGCTGGGGTGTGTGTGGGCCTGGGTCAGGAGCAGGGGCTGCGTCAGCAGAAGCGGATTAGGGCTCGTGACAGCAGCTGGGTCCACGACAGCAGCAGGGTGCAGGACATTAGCAGGGAGTACCTGAGGGAGAAAAGAGGGGTGTGTGGGTCCGCACTCAGGAACAGAGGCCGCGTCAGGGGCGGCAGGGGTTACTGCTGGGCCGGGGTCGGCGTCTGAGGCAGGACGGGTGTGCTGGGGTCGGTAGGATGTGGTGCTTGGGGCAGGAAGAGGAGCTGGTGTCTGCTTAGAGTAGCAGAGCTGCTTCTGTGTGGATAAGCCAGTCTTCTATGCTGCTTGAAGACTGGGAGCGTGATCAGTTTTTCCTCCATCCTGTGTGAGTGCAAATCTCCGGGAGTCACCATTTGTAGGGTTTCGTGATATTATGTTGTCTAGCACTCAGGATGGGATTGATGGAAACTCTAGGTGGTGGTTTTCTTATATAATATAAATTATATGAAAGACAGTCAGGTGCTGGAGATGCCGTGTGGTGAGGAGCTGCCTAGTAGACATGTTCGGTGAGTAGCGTGCTGAAGGAGGTAGATGTGCAGGAGCTTCGTTAGAGGAGATGTTGCCTGTTGCTGGCCTCCAGGTTGAATGAGAGCTGGACAGCGAGGAGCTTGCTTGGAGGAGGTGTTGCGTGTTCAGGAACCGAGGCCAGACTGAATCTTAATGGAGAGACAGAGCTTATATACACAGCAGCCGGAAGTAAACCGTGGGAACTCGCCGGTTTCTCGACTCCGTTGCTAGGGAAGACGTAGCAGGTGGCTGGTTGCTAGGATACTGTCGCATTGGAATGCGGATACGCATTTGTAGGGGAGACGTCCACTATAGTCCAAGAGCCCAGGCACTTTTAATCATGTGTCTGAGGCCAAAAGGTTTGAGGGTCGTTTCTGAATCAGAATTTTATGCTGAATCTGAAAATCCATTTCTTAATTGCCGCAGCTGCTGCGTTTTTGGAGAAAAACAGTGTTTTTTGTTGTTTTTATACCCTATTTTGGGGAAAAGTATAAAACAATGTTTTTACTTCGTGGAGTTATTAAATATCCATTTATACTAGCATGTATGGTATCAAAATAAAGATATTATGTTGTTGAACACATAGGCATTAAAAATAATACAGCAGCAAGACATTCACAAGAACACCAGTCGATCTGACCCTGGAACAGACTATCAATGCAGATGCTGCTTCACGCATGACTGGCATATCTGCATTCACACAGAATGAAAGTGCAAGAAGTAGGTGGATGGTGACTCATGCCATGAGAAGTGCTATACTTGGGCACTTGTTCGATATGGCTGGACTTAGGAAGCAAGATGACTCAACAAAGGATCTCACACATCACCGTATTGTGCGTGACAATAATGATGTTAATAAAATCATCAGTGGCATTAACGAGACACTCAATCCTTTTGATGAGATAGCTCAAGATGGAAATCTCTACTGCCTGTCCACTGGAAAAGCAACATCAGTAGATGTCAAGAATGACCTCCTACACTGTGTGGAAATTGGAGACAAACGATGTAACACATTTATCAAAGAATGTTTTGAAGACCCTGCAAGGTTTGAGAAACCGATTTCTCGATCTAAATTGAAGAATTTCTCATCAGATGCTATACGAGTTAAGCTCACCGTTAAGGACAGAAAGATTAAAGAATTGCAGGGGACACGTGATTTATTTGGAAGACTGCTTTACCTAGCAGCGAGCAACAACGTGGATTTGGCTTTGGTCTTTAGATATCCCCTTACACCAGTGCCATTGACCATAGCACAGGTGGATGGGTCTGTTAACAAAACGGACAAGTCAAAACTGATGCATAAGTTGGAAGAAAGAGTGAAAAGTAGCAAACCAGTGAGTCGGGATGCATGTACCATTGATGCAATGTTTCTCATACGAACTCTAGTCAATGTACCAGCCACATTTGGTGAAATTGCCAAACTTGTTCTGACACGGTTGTTGGGATTTGCCAAAAGGGTAGACTTTGTATGTGATTCATACAAAACCCCATCCATCAAAGATATCGAGCATGGTATCCGTGGATCTGATGCTACACATACCAACTTCATTATCTCTGGTCCTGACCAGAAGCGCCCAAAGGATTTCAATGCCTCGCTCAAGTCCGCGAATTTCAAAACAGCCCTCCTACACTTCCTTGTAAAGGAATGGAAGAGAACATCATACATTGAGCAGATCCGAGGCTACACGCTATTTGTAGGACTGGATGACAAAGCCTATCAATATGATGTAAAGGATGACAGTATTCACGTGCAAGAGGTCCCCAGCCTGGTCTGCAACCACGAGGAGGCAGATACTCGGTTGATCTGGCATGTTAAGCATATGTGCGAGTCCTACAAAGGTGGTAACATCATTATCCGGTCCTCTGACACTGATGTTCTTATAATTTTGCTTACGCTTGCCCATGTCATACCAGGACAGCTATGGCTCGACGTTGGT